TCCATCAACAAAATGATAAGCTTTTCTTACAAAATGAATTGTATGCAGGTTGTGTTACCAAGCCTTGAGGAGCTGCAATTATGCTGGATGAATGTTGACATCAAATGGCTCACTTTAGTATCATCTTTTTGTGTCAAGAAATTGAAGAAATTGATCATTCAAGGCTTTGATAATTTGGTATTTTTGTTCTCATCTTGTGTGGCTAGAGGTATGGTGATGCTTGAACGACTTGAAATAAGGGAATGCAAGAGGATGAGAGAGATTATTGTCACAGAGAATGCAGAAGAAAATGAGAATTTGATTTTTCCCCAACTGAACCACCTATCGATAGAAGACCTTCACAACCTTGTTGCATTCTACTTAGGAAATTGTATTGTTGAATTCCCATCCTTGGAGGATTTGGAAGTACTGAATTGCCCCGAATTGAAGGGATTCACAGTTAAATATTCTGAAAGCACAAGTTGCATAGTTGACATGCAGACACTCTTCAATGAACAGGTCATATGTTCCTCATTTCACTTTCATCTTGGCTTTAATTTTAGGGACAAATAATTGTCCTTATCCTTTAACTGTCAATGGCATGATGCATTCATTTATTATGTAGGTTGCATTTCCCAACTTGAAAAGGTTGACTATCACCCACTTGAAAAACTTGGAGATCATATGGCACAACAAACTATATGCAAATTCCTTTTGCAGGCTAATATCATTAAAAGTTGAAAATTGTGAAAAGCTATCAACTGTTTTTCCTTGTACTGATATATTGGGAAAAGTCTTGAAATCCCTAGAGGTGTTATCTATATATCGGTGTGGCTCACTCGAAGGGATATTTGAAATTGCTGAGTTCAATGTCAAACAAACACATGCTGTAATTGACACCAAGTTCAAAGAATTGAATATTGAAGGCCTACCAAGATTGAAGCATGTGTGGAATAAGGATCCCCAAGGAACACTCACTTTTCACGACCTGGAATCAGTCAAGGTAAGCTGTTGTGGGAGTCTCAAAAATTTGTTTCCAGCTTCAATAGGCAAAAACCTTTTGCAACTCCAAAAGCTACATTTATACTTGTGCGGGGTGGAGGAAATTGTCACAATGGGAGAACAAGAAGCTGGAGCAATTGTTAGCTTTGAATTTCCTCAAGTAACAAGTCTTAAGCTTGAGGTGCTACCAACACTCCAATGTTTCTACCCAGGGAAGCACACGACAATGTGGAAAATGTTAAAAAAGTTTTATTTTTCCCATTTCAATCTAGTAAAGGAAGCAGATGGGCGTGGGCAACTTGACTTCCCTGTACGACTACCACTTTTCTCTACAAAAAAGGTACAATTCGTATCATAACTTTCCATTGTGAAATTAGAACCCCTCTCCAAAATAAAATAATAAAAGAACACCTTACTACAACTATATATCATGTAACAAGTCATTAATTTTTAATAATCATCATACATGGATAATGATATCATATTGGAAAGATGCAATAACTTGCTTTAGTGAGACTTCAGTGGTTTTTTTAATGAAATATTGTTTGCGAGACTGCTTGAAAATGGTTCTTAGTATTCCTTTAACTTTGTCATTATTGTTTTGAATCTTTGTGTTAAATAAATCTGCTTGTGTTCATTTAAGAAAAACATTAAAAACTCTTTTATTATGGCTATTTAATCACTGTAAAGAAAATCTTGATTTGTAGGCTAAGAAAAACAAGCTACTTAGTGATCATGAAGGGAGAAAGTGCTGGCCTTAGATTTTGAATTCTGTAGAGAAACCAATTACTATCACATTTAGAAAACTTGGTTAAAAATAAGAACTCATATCACTTGAATGCATAATCTAATCTAGTATAAAAGTGTATTAAATGTTAAGCTTTAGAAGCCAAGAATGGTAAGCAAGAGTTATTAAGTTAAGAGATAGTATCTTATAAGTGAAAGGCATATTATTTTAAAGTTAAATCATTTATACATGTATTTAGCGGGAAGTCCATTTCAAAATATATTTATAAAGTATAATGATTGGTTTAATTGAAGAACTCTCATCTGATTATACCCAGGATTGGAAGAAACTTAAAAAAATTTGAGCCATATGCAATGTTGGGAAAATCAAATCTACCTTCGTATAAACCATAAGAAATTTCTAGACTTCCAAAAACGCTAGCTGTACTCAGTTAACCTAAAATGGTTAGAGAAACAAACATGAGCTATGAAGTTCAGTAAGCATAAGTTATAACCTAAAGCTGTAAGTGAGTTTTGAGTCAAATTAACAAGAACAATCAAATAATCCATGTTAAAACTTATAACCAGAATCCAAAAAAGATAGATTATGAAGGTGGCGGGCATAGCTT